ATTCTCTAATAAATCAATAACATTTATCTCTTAACAATTATATTTTTGCTCAATATACAATTTCATACTTCTTTAAAATCTATATCGATAAAGACGACCTGACCCTTCAACATAATTAATCCGTGTTTATTTCTTTCATAGTTTAGACGCACTTAAACTCCCTGTTAGCAAATAATCTTAGTTAACTTAACGACGAACCTTTTAAGCTAACAACGTAACTTTAAGAAAGTAAAAGTCTGCATTCATAGTAATTCATAAAGAACAATTACAACTAAAACAACAAGTACTTCGTTTTACGCACATTATCTCTGTTATCAAATATTTAGGGTGATCTTATGATTATTCTGTGATACCTTGATGGTGAAGAGAGTTATAAAATTTTAGGTCAATTCACATAATTTATTCCATTCTTCCTTCTGTTAAAACAATACAAAAATTATACCTAAAATTATATAATTGAAAATAAATTAGTGTGTTTCCATTTCTTATCTTTCTACTTCAATCACTTCAAAATTACCGGACAATTATCTGTAGCTGGATTATTGTGTCATGCATCGATTCACTCTCTGATTAATAATTGAATTTCTGCCCAAATCATGTTCAAGTTTGAAATTAAACTTCTCTTCAGTTAAAATATGTATATTATGTTTTCTCTCAATGGGTTCCAATAAAGCAATAGTTTGTGGATTTCCTTCAATGAACTAATCGTATTCATTCATATCCAAATGATTAAAATTTTCATAAAAAAATAACAGACTTAGAAATAAAAATATATAACAAGCATTTGGCTCTTCATACTCAAATGTTGGAATGTTCACCTATAGAATTAGCGTTAATACAGATGAATATGCTAAAATTAAAATGAATAAACTATTCTTTAGAAACCAATTCACAAACACTGTGTCTATAAGGGATGCGTTACGGATCGCATTCACTTACCTTGACTAAGTTCACGGCTTGTAATTAATTCCGTGTTATCCAGCTAGTAACTCAATAATATAATCACGATAATTCAAGATCTTCCTGGAATTAATACTCTCGGCTCTTTTTGCAAACTGGTTAAATTTTACACCCCTCGCAAATGAGAGATAATTTAATGAGACAAATATCTTTTTAACTACTAATATATTTACCTTTCCACATCATTCATTATACCTCATTGACAATGACCATATTTGGGTTTGTAATTTTATCGAAATTTGCACCAGACATTTATCAGAAACTGGCCTCCCATTGGTCCTTCTTGCTTGATGAATCATAAAAATCGGATTTATTATTTTTTTAATTAATTATAGTGACATTGGAAAAATTAAAGAAACAACAAAATAAATATGCCAAACATTTTGCAATAAAAATGCCGTCACCACCAAGTTTATTACGATGTAAATGGAAGCAAGATGTCCTAGTATTTATTTCTCTACTTTTTTTTATTTGAAAGAATTATCATTTGTTAAGTTCATTCATTTAATAGATTGAAAAATTTTTTATAAAATTTTAATTACATTTTTTTTTTTTAAAAAAAAGTTCCTATTTACTTTAAAGTTGTTAAATGTTTATGACTTCCATATTAGTTTTTCGCTCGCATTGTTTCAATTGGCAAGGTTCGATATCATGAAATATAAAATTAGGTTACATGACATAATAAATCATATGATCTGAACATGAATTTTAATACCATTTTGAACTTAATATTTAGTTTGCGAAGTATAGAAATATTGTCGATCATTATATTTGACTCGTTTCTCCGTGAATAACTTTGCAAGAACTTTTGATGCAATTATTTCTAACCTCTTAAAATCATATATTATATTTCATATTAACTTAGGAGGTCAAGAATGACGCATTAAAAGGATTCAAAATTCCGATAAATAATTTTTTAATTTGTTAATGATATTCAAAAATCTTATATTTATACTGTAACTTGTGTTTCCGTTTCCTGAATTTCTTTCTCGTCTCTTAATTTTTTTTTTTTAAAATATTATTAAAATGACAAGAGGATATTCATTAGAACAAGATTTGAGATTTTTACTAAATAATCAAAAATATAGTGATATTGAAATTGTATGCAAGGATGAGAAGAAATTACATGGTTGTAGAGTGATTTTAGCTGCAAGATCCGAAGTATTTAACAGATTGCTTTATAGTGGGTTAGGAGAAAGTTATGAGAAACAAATTTTTTTTTCAAAGATAAATTCTTTAGGAATGGAAGTTATAATGGAATACATTTATACATGAATTTTTAAAGAGGAATCTTTAACCAAAGATAATATCGTTAAAGCTTTTATTGCTGCAGAATACTTTCAACTGCCAGACCTTCAAGATACTATTTTGAAGATTGTTAAAATTATCTTAGAAAAGAATCGCAATGATAATTATTCACCTGAATTGTTATCCAAAATTCTTGATACAATGTCATTATCAGAAAATAATATTCTTTCTAATCTGTTGCTTGACGCAGTATCAGCTATTCCGTTAAATACCATAGAATTTGGCAGGTTATCTACTACAGCACTTAGCGTCCTTTTATCTTACACTTATGGAAAGGATATACCCTTCGTAACTCCAGAATATGAAGTATTTCGATATAGCGTCATTATAATTGCAAGAAATATTTCTAACGATTCAACAAAATCTATTTTAAAGCGGTTACCAACCCTAGAAAACATTGATAACTTTAAGCGAACAGATAATGAGATTATCCCGGATCATCATAACGTTGCTAAAGGATTATTACCTTTGATAAAATTTATTGATTTCGGAAGAATTAAAAGCCAAATATTAGCTAATATTATTTAGCCATTAAATATTATCCCAGTTGAAACGATTTTAAATGTTTATCGACATAGGGCAATGTCATATAATACAGAATTGAATGAAGTTCGAAGACATTTGCTAGCATCTAACAAAACTGGGTTTGTTTGGAATAATTCAGCGTGTGGATCAAATCTTGTTATTGAAGATAATGGAAAAGTTGTACGAGCTTCAAACGCTTGTAGGATACACCAAAGTGTTAAAGTAAGGCAGAGTTCAATAATCAAGGTATTTTTGAATGGGATGTTATTATTGAGAAACATTGTATAAGTGCTTGGATAGGGGTCTGTGCATCAGAAAATTTTGATTATGAAAAATTTGCAGGACCCCAACATACCGGATGGGTATAGAAATATTATTTATTTGTCGCTTTAAATTTGCAAAAGTGTTGATTTTTTTCTTTTAAAATTGATCACACCATTTTCTGTAAATTTCTATACAATTTTGTTAAATTTGTGGTCGGACAAGTGTTGGGTTAATAACGATATTATATATAAAAATAAATATCCAATATGAAACATAGATTATCTTTCGAAAAGAAAATTAAATACTAAAAATTACAATCCGAAAATTTCATGTTTTAACATTTACATATACTCTAATTAGTTATTACATAAACCTGTATATAATAGTATGTTATGTATGGATTATTTTTTATGATACATAAAAAACATGCATGATTTGGAAGATGTTCAAAATCCTGAAGATCAAAATCCCGAAGGATCATAATCCCGAATTCATAGTTTAAAATTATAAAATAATTATAATATTCGATTATTTATAATTTTATAACTTTCTTTTAGATCGATTTTTTTTTTGCATCATAAAAGTCGATTAATTATTATTTTATCACGTAGTATTTTATCATACATAAATATTAAAATAATAATTTTTGTAACACTTCTAATAAACAAAACTTTTTAAAGATTAAAAATCATTAAAATATGTAGTAATATTTGACATTTTTATAGTAACTAGAAGTTGCAATATGTGGGGGACTTCGTCTTCTATTAAGCATTGGATTAAATATTTTATGTTAATATAAATAATTTAATTTAAAATTTCGGGTTGAATTAGGATTGATAAAATATTTTATTAAATAATATGAATTAAAATAAAGTTAAATTAGAATTGATTATTGTATTGATAGTAGAGTTGAATCAGGGTATTTCATAGTTAAATTAGGTGTAATTATTGTATAATTAGTTAAATATTAAATTTATTGTTTTTTTTTATATAATTGAATTAAATATGGATTTTAAAATCTAAAAATTAAAAATTATTTAATTATATAAATCATTTATAAAAAAGAACTAAAAATATTAGTATATAAAAAAAAAAATATAAAAAATGAATCAGTGTATTTATGAAAGTATTGTAAACATTCATTCAATTAATAAAAATATATTATTTTGATATTCACTAAATAACTTTAATTTGTTTTAGAAAATCTGCTTCATTTCATAAGTGCTAGAATTTACCTTGAAATAAAAATTAAATAAATAAAAAATAAAAAAACATTAGTATACATCAATAATTAAATTTTTAAAAATATTAATATATTAATAATACAATTATGGTCGCTGATTTCAAATGAGAGTCTCGACTCAGTCAACGACTAAGTTGACTGAAAAGTGTCTAACGGCTGACTGAGTCGACTCCAGAATTTGTCACGACTGGTACTACTAAAGTAAACCATAAAAATACAGTATTTCAAAGTTTTTAAAGATACAAATTTTATTTTATATATTGCATAACCTACCTTCAAATTAAGTTTTAAAATTTTAATATTATCATTGCGTTGTTTTTAATTATCAATATCTATCACTATATTATATTTATAATTTATTGTGTGATTTTTGATATAGACCTAAATGTTTATTTTTAATTTACTGTTCTCTTTATCTAATTTTTTTAATTTATCATTCTTTCATTCTTTCTTTTCGTTTTTATCAGTAAAGGTGGAAGTGAATCTATAATTTCAACTTGGATAACTTCTCAAAATATATTATTGCTATAAATATAAAGTTTCTTCGAGTTCTATAGAATTTAATTTTAATGATGGTATATCCACAGGATCTTTAGGACCAATGCCAAATAAACAAAAACAATCTGTACAAATTGGTCCATTTGGAAAATATAATAAATTTAGACTATAAGGAATGGTTGGAAATAATGATTATGGTGAAAAAGCTGCTCATTTCAATTTCAATACGACGATTCTCTTTGAATTTTGAAATTCCTCTTAGAATAAATATTATATAAAAGATCCTTCTCTCTCAATTTTCAAAACATAATCGAAGAGTTCGATGCGATGCTTGCATTATCTGTATTTGTTGTAAACTCAATCTGATAAATAAAACTATACGTAATTAAATAAAAAGTTGCAATAATATAAGTGTTTAGGTTTACGAAAAAATTCTTATTTTATAGAAAATAAAATGCTAACTAATCATATTTCGTGATTTTTTTTTATTAAAACATTCTTTAGCAATCTTAATAGATTTTAGTGTTATCAAGCATTTCATAAATTTCTAAATTTTAAATAATGACAAATAATAAATGTAAAACTAACGAATTTTATAATTAATTAATTTATCAGTATATTTCGGCTTGTTTCCCATCTTGTGCTGCCGCAGATTTCTTTCCAATTTACCAAATGGTTCGAAATATTGATTATGGTAATCTTTTCAACAATTTCAGAGCTTGTGCCAGCATATAAAGGTGTTAAAGCTCCATTCTTCAGGAATGACGAAAGATCATTAATTAATATTAATCAAAAATATAAAAATCGAGACGTTATATATGTTTATTCCGTATATTTATTTCCAAATATGAAATGAAAGTTTATAACTTTTCTGGTTCAGAGAGCACTTATAATTTTTCGAGTATACCTTAGAACTAGAATAATCTATTTTAACGATTCTTAACTTCGTAAATATCAACTAATAATAGTTAAACTGTGAGTGACGTAAATTTCATAAAATAAAGTTCTTGTTTAAACTTTTTAGCATGCCATTAATACAAAAAATCCGTTAAAATATAAAATATGCAGAAAGTACAATTGCAGCCGAAGGTAATTAAATATCAATTAAATAAAGAAATAAAAAACTTTATTGATGTAGCTAAAACGCAATACTTATTATAATTTAAAATTTTCTAAATTTGAAATTTAACTATAAGGTGGAAATTTGCTTAATTTACATGATTATTACTAACAATACAATTCTCAAAAAAAAAAATACAATAATTAAGTTATGATAAAATTTTAATATTTACCGTAACATTAAAGTAAATACTGTGGTAAGATCTTCATAATATGTATAACCATTATCGTTATACAAGATAATTTTTGGATTGGAAAAAAAAAAAATTTTTTTTTTTTAATTTAAAAAAATTAATAATAATAACAATGTCTGATAGTGACAATAAAGGTAAAAGTTTTAATAGAAATGCCAAAAAAATATATATATTTCCACCAACAAAAATAACGGAAATAAAACTTAGCACGCCTGAAATGAGTATATTTGACGGTTAGATGATTTCTAAAAAAAAAATTATTTCACAAATTCACAGAGTCGTTTTCGGATGTTATGGAAGTATCCTCATTAGAAGAAATAGAAGGTAACAGTAATTCCATGTATTATTAACCACATTTAAATATTATAATTATACTCATTTTTATTCACTATTTTATCAAATAAACATAGAATCAGCTTCATGTGATGAAGGTAAACATAAATAATTAA